TATATATATATATATATCTTTAGTTTAATAATTTTGACTTCAATAAATTATGAATTTTTAATTGAGCAAGTTAAAAGATGGGAAAAATTATCTCAAGCTTGAAAATTTTAATATAGATATTGTGTTTGTGTGCTATAAAAATCATAATAAAATCTACAATAAAATCACGCCTAAACAGTTTAACATGTTACGACGTGTGTCAAAGCGCTTCTCATTCACGTGGCCGCCCCATTCATATGCATTCGTACGTAGTAATGCTTGTACAAGACGCGGCCACCGCTTTCATAGATATCTCTAACGTACCACTTTGTCGACAGTTTTAATGCTTTCTAAACGCCGTGAGCATACGTTTTCATACACACGGAGATTTACTGTGCTTCGTGTATTCGTGTATGTATAGCGTTAATAAAAAGAATCAACTCTCTCACGCGCGATTTTCTTAATTACAAATTTTCTAACAAATTTTTTCTAACACTGCCTCAAAGTCTCAATTAAAAATTCAATTCTTGATTGTAAGAATAAAGGAACAGGTATGGTAAGTATATTAGCCGTTTTATATTTACCGCTACTTTGTTTTCTCATTTTTAATCGTACAAATATATCATCTTTTTTCAATTCCTTAATTTGTCTTTAAAAAAAAATGTACCGCTCTTCTAAATATTCGAGAGAAGCAGAGAATTACGGTTTTTTTTTGCATTTTGCTAGACTTCAGTTCCAGACGTGCAATTTATAATGTCGTTTAGCAAGATTCTTTACGAATAAATTTCAAACATGTTTGTAGAAACACGTCCCCACTTACTTTTTTCCCTTGTGATAATTAATAGCTCGTGCCATGAGTATAGTAAACATGGGTCGTATCGCTTTCCCGTGGCCATCGAAATAGTATGTGGTTATAGGTTGCAACTCTTCTAGCGAGGTGTTTTTTATAAGTTTCTGAAACAATAAGACATATATCTTACAATAAATATTAACGAAAGATGTTGTTGATTCGAATATCGGTAGAATAAAAATTAAAATCGATGACCGCGCAAATATCGGTATATCTGTATACATATATACAGGCTAAAGTACAGAGCATGTACAAATATCACGTCTTATATAATTTGTAAAAAAGTTTTAAAATTATTATTAAGCATAATAATTCACAAAAATATAGAAACGATATTTTATGAAATTTATATAATTCATACTCTCTAAATTCTTTGGAATGGAATTTCACTCTAAAAGCTAGTCTTGAAAAAGAGTGGCTCAATTTTCAATCTTTAAGAGTGAGATTCACCCTAAAAGTTTTAGAGAATAATATAACTTTTTTTTTTCCCTCCCCTTGACTTCGTCAGCCTTTGACTGCGTACGTTGAGGAATGAGACGTTTAAAGTTGTAATGTACAGACATAGATATACAATTCATTTTACAAGATATTGACTATGGATAATTTGCAATAATCGATTGTCATTGTTCGAATGGAACCCTTGTGATTCTAAGTCCACAAGATCTGCTAATCTTGTTCATCCAAGTGAACACAAGGACGGAGCGACCACTCTCTAGTTCGGATAATTGATTGAAATTTGATACTGTTTGTCACTGAAGATGGCCCGGAAGTAAGGCCGAAACGTATGAATAAAGATTAAAATGATAAACTAATTTGTATCAATATTACTGCACAAATTACGCAAGTTGTTGACTCTTAATTAGCCCAATATTTTAAATTATTGATAATATTAATGATAATTTATTTTATTATATCTTCATGTGTATAAACTGATTATTGTTATGACAATACGTCAAGTCAACTCTCTAAAATAACGTTTGCATTAATTACCTGGAAATTATGTTTTTGCTAGTTCCTCTCTTTATAGTCTAATACTATTAAATATTAATTTAGTTGTAATCGATCAAAGAAGGAAGGAGAAAAACTATGTTCTTTACAGCGTAATCCTTCTCTCTTCTCATCGATCGGTTACAACTAAAAAAAACTATTCAGGTGGAGTGCGTAATCAGAAGAGAAATTTGCTACTCTCGTCCTTTCGACAGTATCGGAACTCGTTCTGTGATCGCGGATTAAATATTCGTCAGACAACTGTCTCCGATGCAATAACGAAAGAGGACAACGTCGAAAGAGACAGAACTGCTTTAGATTCCACATGCGATTCCGGTTGAAAGTTCCTTCTGGAATTTGGCCAAAGTTTAAAAGAATGTATGCGTCCGTTACGTCTCTCGATGAGCTTGCATTAGATTCGTTCTTCGCGCGGCTCACGCGACCGGAAGTCGATCGATACTGTCGAACCCCGCTACCGAAAATATCGCTACTGTGCTCGCGATACTAAATCGCGTCGATTTCTCTAACTTTCCTCGAATCAAGTGACGAACCAACGTTGAAGTTACGACGGTTCGTTGAAAACAATTTCTTTTGTTTCGCCAACATCTGCTAATGCCGATAATTTATCATATCATTCCTTGTTGAAATACCGACAATTTTGATAATTAAGAATTCGTTAATGATTTTTCGAACAGTTTAAGATCACGAGATCCTGCAGTTATATTGTGATAATTGTACAACTAGCTAGAATAATATCGTTTTTATAGATTGGGCAAATTTCACACTATTTTCTGTGTACGCGAACGTTGATCGTGAGTAAAAGTTCTTCTCTCGACCATATGCAGACCGTGAAGTCGAGCTACTTTCGCTGACGGGCCGAGGCACCTTAAGCAGAGGCGCCGCCGCGTGAAAATTGCATGGCTCTTCATCAATATTTATAAACGCGTTTCTTGACGATTGTTCTTGTCACTAAAGCAATAAAAATGCTCGAGCTGCGTCAATTTAAGCGTCATTTACTGATTGAGATAGAAACAGCAAGATGTATATACACTGTTACACACAGAACTTTAAAATTTATTTCAAAAATACAAAGAATTGAATTTGATAGAATTTGAAATTTAAATAAAATTTTATAACTGAATCACAACAAAAATAAATATTAAATGGCAAAAGAAAAAAAACTCAAAATTCAAAGGTGAAGTCTCACACATTATCTTTTATTTACATTTGAAAAAATATAATATTTATTTTTAAAGGAACAATCTTACTTCTAAATATTAGTGTACGGTTAGATAAATTATTGTGAGAAGCAATATTTTGTATATCAATTTCAAAAAAATTGGTGAAACAGTAATATACAAAATTAAAAATTAAACATATATGTATATATATATGTGTATATACCTATATTTAATTTGAATCAATTAACAAGGGAAAGGATCCAAGTATTTTCCTCAAATTTCGGTGAGTTTTTAATATATTGTTTTGTAGGCAAAAGTAAGAGACACGTATTTTTTTTATATATATCCTATCGCACTTGTAAAACACCCGTTAGAAAAAAATCGATCTATTCTTTCGAAGCGAATATCATCGAAAGTACAAAGGATAGAAAAAATGAAATAAAAATTGAATAATTTCAAAAGTATTTTATAATAATAATTAAAAAATTTAAAATTTTTTAAATTATAATTATTAAGCATATTTCTCAAATTATTCAACTTTATTTCAAACACTTTTTTTCTATCTTTTGTGGTTTCGACGATATACAAAAAAAAAATCGATTTCTTTCTAAGGAATGCATTCCTTAAAAGTACGATAGAATACAAATAAAAAAAATATATATATCCCTTATTTTCATTTACAAAACAACATATCGGAGGAGGATATTTGGATCCTTTCCTTACAAGATGTAAGAATATTGTTTTGGAATAATTCTAAAAGAGACAGATTATTAGAAATAGGAAAACGATAACGTGTATATCTTTTACTCTGATTTGATAGAAATATCAAGTCTATCATGCGAAATAAAAGCAAATTGATTACGCAGTCTACTCTAATTACTCCTTTTTGATACATGCTTTTTTTTGCCGCATCACTGGGCTCGTCTTAGGTTGGCTAGCACAATTTCACAATAATCTAGCGTACGTAATATCGATGAAGTCAATTACATAAATAGCTGTTAAGGCAGTATGCTGTTACTTCCCGAAAGTTTCTCGAGGCTATCCATGTGAATGACAATTGCCTCCTCATGGGAATGAGGATTAATAGCCTTCGGCTTCTTTTATGTAACTAATTCGTTTATTGCTTCATGACTAACAATGTTGTTCATCGATTTCACGTAGCTATTACAGTTGCTAATATATTAATAAGAATTTGAGAAAATTTTGATCCTTTACGGAAAATCTTCAAGTTTTAAAATAATTCAACTAACTTTTCAAGATATATTGACAAATACTACAGATAATGTGGCTGAGAAATCAAGAAACTTAATCCTATTTTATTTATTACAAGTTTTTACGTTTCTAAAGAGAAAGAAAGAAGCTGGAAGCGTAAATCTTACATTCTAATAAAATCGAAGTATAAAGTCTTACCGATCGTATATCGAAAAATATATCCTTAAGGTCGTCTTCTATAAGTGTATAAGGATCGATTTGGTAATCAGGTAAAGATCCAGGCATTTGCGTTTGCATAGTGCTCGTTGCCCTCACGAGACCTATCCTGCTGTCCCGGGAGTTCGTTTTGTTCTGTAAATGGAAGAAAAAAAGAAAGTTCTGTATTACGTCAAATATTGACCATAAACTTATATCTATTATGACATCAGAATTAACTGCGCAATCAGAACAAATATTTACTTTGTTTTAAGTTTTAAACGTGACCACCATCGAATATTTTAGCGCCTTGTATCGTATGAATCCTTTTAGTCATTATATATATATATATATATATATAATAATAAAAATATATGTGTGTGTGTGTGTGTTTATATTAATATTATATATTTAAGATCTTTATCTAATAAAAACCGACGAGGGACGGCAAAAAATATTAAATTCCTAGAAAAATTAAAAGTATTAAATTGCTGATGCCAGTATTTATGATGTGAGCCAGTCACTAACTTTTTACAAGAATTTGTTCCAAATCGTCCTTAAAAATGTCATATTAAATAAATCGACTGAGAAGATAACATGATAAATGTGACAGTAATAAATGTCATGTTTCACATAGTAATTATTTAATGCGCAATATATACCATGTTAATGGCGAGTAGAGATATTTCTCTCGGATACATGTCCGACGCAACGCATGATTTACTACTGTCGCCGGTCTGACCCTATTCGAGCAACTACTACTCTTGCAACACGTCCGCCACAAGTTCTTAAATGCTCGCGGAAAAGAACGCGTTAATTAAGATTTTCTTACGTATTTCACGAGAAGCTGATAATGAATATTATTCATTCACATTCCAAGCTCTCGCTGTCTGATGAGTTTTATAAGATGATAAACACATCTCAAAGAAAACACTGCTAATCAATCTTGGCAAAAGAAATCTGTTGTCAATTATAAAAGGACATAGTTGTCAATTAGCACCTGATGCTGATGAAATTTTGAATGTGTGAAGATAAATATTTTCTTTATTTTCTCTATTTTTATATATACTCTAAGGACTATTTTCGAAATTTTTCAAAACGAGTAGACTTATTTACACATTATTCGCATAGTCGCGAAATCTAATACGCAATTTGAACGCGATCCAATTTGCATAAGGAATTATTGACCGAACTTTTTTTTGCATATAACTGTTTTCGTAGCGGTGGAACGCAGGTGCTTACCAACACTTCGCTGTTTTCCAGCGACTCGTTCGAGGGAACGACTGCATTCTTTCGCTCTGTACACAACGATGTCCCCTTTCATCATCGAATCTCGCGATCAATGCTCCACGATTTCTTAGTATTCAGCGTGTCGACGTGACTATAAATAGTCATCCTATACCGAAAATCTTTATGTAACTGCGACATTTCAAATTTAATTTAATTTATTACAAAAACTTGTCTTTTCAGTATGGTAATACGATCACATTCGATCGCATTTATGGATGTGCATGCAAAATAAATATTATGAACATTAATAATGCTCAGTGAAAGATTCTGCCGCAAAAATATAATGTACTTTATTTTGTCATATATTTAATAGATATACATAAATTTATACTAAATATATTTATATTAAATATTATACATAGATATAGAAAAATAGGCTCGTGTAAAAATAGGCTACGCACTAAATTAAAATATCAAACGCTTTTTATAAATGAGTAATAGAGTAGTTAATTAATAAAATTCATCTTTAATTACGTACGTATATTATACATAGATTTAAACTTTTGGCATACCAGAATTAATCTGAAATTTGAATTTCAAATTAACATATAATTTTGTCATATTCGAAGATAATGATAAAACTACATAATAAAAAATGTAGTTTTGCGGATAGAATATTTGTGGTCTTACGCATAGACAAATCTCGCGCCGTGTAACATTTAATTTGTCGGCAAACTAATCGAGGCCGTTACAGGCAAATAATAACACTCACTAACCGTGCAGAAATATGCAATGTGCATGTATGCCGTAATAAACTGATTGCCGGTGACCGGCAACATCATGAATTTGGCCTACAAAAACCTGAAAATAATTAGTTGAACTACGTTACACTTGATTTTCTGCGTTAGCGGCGTATTGCAATAACATTCGTAAATACTTCTTTTTTATTGCAGCCTTTCAATCCCGCAAAAACAATGTCAGCGTGTCGTTAACCCGTTTGCGTGCACAATTGTGGTAATTTATTTGACCCTGGAAAGCAATTTTTTTATGGCACTTGCACTTAGAATGCTGCCTATAATATCTTTCTCTTTCTCTCTTATTTTTATTTTGTTGTATTCTTTATTGTTTTTTAATTTTTATCATTTTTGTTATATTTTTTAATTTTTATCACATTTGTTGTATTCTGCTATTCTTTGTTCATTTTTCTTTATGTTTGTTCTTAGAAAACGTGTTCCAGGACATTATTTGCTTCAATTAGTTTACAATTAGTCTTATCTTGTATTTCTTATTTAATTTTCCATGTATCTTATTATTTTTGTTTGTTATTATTTCTATGTTATTTTATTATTTTTGTTTAAAATTTTTTTAAATATGTTCGTATCCTGTATATATCTCTACACCTGAATTCTCTATTGACACTCACCTTTTGTTTGTTATAACTGTAATTATTTCAGCATTTGAAAGGGAAGTTAGAGCACTCAATAAATAACACTGAGATTTATCTAAACTATCTATATCTCTTTCTCTTGTCCGTTAACATTATTACATGTATTGTTAGGTATCAATGAGTAATAGCAATTTCCAATCCCTTGAGTTAAGTAACATTTTGTTATTTTTAATTTTAGGTATAAAAATATAAATCAATCCATTTCTATGGTTAATTTTAAAGTGTACATCGTCCATATACATATGCATATAACGTATGCATTAGTAAATAATAAATACTAAATTTTTAAGTCACATTTAATACAGTTTCTTGAGTTAAATTATTTAACGCCATTGTTTTATTTAAATTAACTCTTACCGTACTAATATGGGTAACTAGTGATCGAGCGATTTCTGTTCGTGCAAGTTTCTTTGAGTCTTTCGGTAATTATAAATTATACTACATTTTATTATTTTCCAAAATAAAGAGTCAATATTTATTCTAAAAAGTTGAAAGTATGTTGGTGAAAATTTTTAGAGATTTTTTAAATTATTTTGAAAAGGCGAAAAAACGAAGAGATTTGAAGTGATCCTTGATGGTATGGATAAGGCACCAAATTGTACGATAAGGATTAACAATATATTGGATAGCAGTAGTGGCGACTTATAAAAATACTTAAAATTAACTCAAATTGGGTATAATAATTTATTGACATTATGAATTTAATGATGTAAAAAATATAAATACATTGCGATTATAAACGATTAATATTCAATATCAGTAATTAGACTGGAAATTTAATCCTTTCGTTTATGCCGAGACGATTTTTAGATGACATATGATATTAAGTTAAACAAGTCCCAGACTCACACTCTTTCCAGTAATGTTGCCGTATTATAAAATATACACAGAAAGATACGCATAAAATCTACTCGTAATTTTACATAATTTATTTATATATATATATATATATAAATTTTAATAACATAAATATATCGATGTTATATAACGAAGATTTAATATTTCAAGACAATCCCTTGACCTGGATGTCATATCGATGTCTCACCTTTTATTTAAAACGTTATAGCCGCCACTATGTTCGTCAGGAGGATATGCAACATTGAGCAATATTCGTATTTAATGTGTGTCCATGCGTGTCTGACGCATGGATTTCCATGTGCCCGTGCACGTTGTATATATCTCCCGCTCATTACATTCCTGAATAACTGGCCGTAGTGGCAATAAGCAAGTTCACTACATCTGACTTTTACTGGTCTCTCGTGAGTGTACTCGACTCAAGGCTAACGCCGAAGGAAATCACGAATTTGCAAGAAAAAAAACACGTGTGCAACCAGCGTGAATGCGCTAAATGTTCCTTTAGCCTAGAACTACTTTAACTGGTCATTACAATTGTTGGTTCACGCACGGCGTGTTTTCTATTTACGCAGTTACGCTAATAATGCCTAATAAACACGACATTTCATTGCGAAAATTGTTCATGGACCAAATACAATGTAAGTGAAGCAAACACTCATTATTCATTATATGATTTTCAACGCATATTTTCGGAATATAATCTTCACGTATAAGCGTACACCAACAAAAAACGATAACCGGGGAAATTGGGGTAACGGTATGACGATGCTGGATGTGAAAGCGGTCCATCGTCTATAGGCGTTACCGCGATGTCGTCATCAATAGCAGGGGTGTTCATTCATGAGCGTGTGATCCACAACAGTATTTTAATTATCGTACGACCGATAATACCTTCAGCACATGCAACATTTGACTTGCCATGTACGCCATGTAGAATCGCATTGACTTTGCATTAACATGTCGATGAAGATGCATGTCTGTAGCCCCGTCGATGGCTGGATCACTATTAGGCGATTATGAAAGCTGTCTGTCACGTGAAATCACGTAACAGTTAGCATAACTCCAAAATGGAGAGTGTCACTAGGCCATAACTAGCATACCGAGACGCTCCTAAATCCTACTTCTATGCTCTCACCGGTAAATCATAAGCGTGACGAAGATCCGTTTACGTCCGTCGTTGACGGTCCATAAAAAGATATAGCTTGTCCGAGAAAACCACACCACAATAATGTTCCTTTTATAGATTTTTTCACCTATATATTTATCACGACAGGGCTCCCCTTGAAATTAAAAATGTCGAAGCTTCTTATTCTCGAATAATTCACGAAGAAACTTTTAGCACATTACAGGAAAAAGGAATTGCAAATATACCAATCATCATTCAATAGTCATTAAATTTGAAATAACAATATGACAATAATCCTAAAATTAATTTAAACGGAATATTTTATTATATTAACGGATTTTAATGGAGAATATTAAAAAAGATATAAATTATTTAATTAATTTAATATAAAAAATCAATAAAATAAAATGTGGAGAGAACACTGAAAGAAAAAAATGGTTGAAATAACCATAATTTAACTATAATTTATAGTCATTTTTTGGGACAACCATAAATTTA